TCAGACCAAATTGTTCGGACTATTAGATTAAGCACAATTCTGCAATGGATTGCACCTGATATATATAGAACAACCACTGCAGAGGGTCACTGCGTACTTACAACATGGCGGGGGTGGCTGATTTGCGTATTAATTTAGATTGGATTGCAAGTGGAGTTGGAGTGATAGAGTGATCCAGAGAGAGGTGGATATTATTATTGTTATCCATAGGATTACACGTGCTACTGGTGAACTCTTGCTCAATACAACTTGATAATTGGACACTGGCGTATGCCTAAGTCATGTTGCATGATAACAAGTACAGCCTTCCTAGCTATACTACAAACACCCGTGCCCCTAATCGCAAAATAGACACCCCTTGCCTACCTATAAGCGCCTACCTACAAGTGCTACCACTCACTCTATAGCCCCCGCAAGCCCCCACACTTACATCTCCCTCGGAATCGCTGAGCTGCTTCAGGAGGATCTGGGGGAGAGGCGGTAAACTGGGCTGTACCAGCAACCTGTATGACTTGAGTGTACCGTTGTCGTTGCGTACGAGATCGACACACTCCTTGCTCTTGAAGTTTAGGACCACACACTCCACCTCCAGAAACTCGGGTGTGTTGCGAAGCTCCCAGTACAGCTGTGGGGGCATGTCCACCTCGGCGGATACCTTAAGACAGATAGATAAACCAAGGCGTATACGCGTGTTAAACTGGGTTGATGCAGTAGTGGGATGTGTACTTTAGCTCTGACACGGTCAAAATTGGTATAGTATGATAAAGACGAGAACATAGTTATATAGAAATAGTAAAACTGGTGGTCAATATCCGCTGGGTGTCCGATAGGTGCATAGCTCAAACAATACCAAACACAGATATATATTCCAAGTGCATATGGATAGATATATAAACTAAGTGCATATGGTTATTAATTAGAAATATCTAATAGTGTCATGCTCATTTAGTTCTGACTCTGTCAAGTGGTATATATTGATAAATAGAAACATCACTATATATAAGATATAAGATCTAAAACTAGTGATAAACGCTGTGTCCGACAATTGCCAGCTCAAACAATACAAAAGACAGATATATAAACCAAGTGCATATGGACAGATATATAAACCAAGTGCATATGGACAGATATATAAACCAAGTGCATATGGACAGATATATAAACCAAGTGCATATGGACAGATATATAAACCAAGTGCATATGGTTATCAACTAGAAATGTCTAATAGTATCATGCTCATTTAGTTCTGAATCTGTCAAATGGTATATATTGATCAAGATAGGAACATCACTATATATAGATCTAAAAACTAGTTATATACACTGTGCCCGACAAGTTGCATAGCTCAAACAATACCAAAGACAGATATATAAACCAAGTGCATATGCACAGATATATAAACCAAGTGCATATGCACAGATATATAAACCAAGTGCATATGATTATGAACTAGAAATATCTAATAGTGTCAGGCTCATTAAGTTCTGACTCTGTCAAATGGTATATATTGATAAAGATAGGAACATCACTATATATAATATTTAAAAACTAGTGATATACGCTGTGTCCGACAAGTGCATGGCTCAATCGCTACCAAAAAAGAATAGAACCAAATGAAAACAGAAATAACGGACATGAAACAGACAAAACTAAATGACTGCTCCCGAATACGATCCTGCAGCGATAACATGAGCTCACAAAGTAGTGGCTGACCACGACAAGGCGGATGCCCGCCAGTGCCGTGATAATCAGCTAGATTGAAACAATACAAACAAATCCATATAAATTTACATATAAACATTGTATTTACATAAA